TGCCTCACTCATAATTGTTCATGTCAAGGATTAAAACGGTTGATGTCAATGATATGTTTCAGACGATATTTGGCAAACTAGAGTCATAATCATCACCACCATCACCACCATCGTCATCATCAACATCAACATCATCATCATCGTCGTCATTGCCACCATCGTTATTATCATCACCACCGCAATCGTAATCATCACCATCATCATTACCACGATCGTCATTATCATTAACATCATCATTAGTACTAGCGTCGTCATCATCACCACCATCGTCATCATCATCACCACCGCAATCGTAATCATCACCACCATTGTCGTCATCATCATCACCACCATCGTCATCATCATCATCATCATTAGTACCAGCGTCGTCATCATCACCATCGTCATCATCATCATCACCATCGTCGTCACTATCATCATCACTACCATTGTCGTCATCATCACCACCATCGTCGTCATCATCACCACCATCGTCGTTATCATCATCATCATCATCATCATCATCACCATCATCATCACCAGCATCGTTATAATCATCATCATCATCATCATTGTCACCACCATTGCCATCACCGCCATTGTCATTATCAACATCAGCACCACCATCGCCATTACTACCATCGTCGTCATCATCACCACCATCGTCACTATCATCATCACTACCATCGTCATCATCACCACCATCGTCATCATCATCATCACCATCGTCGTCGTCATCAACATCATCACCACCATCGTCATTATCATCATCACTACCATCGTCGTCATACTATCATCACCACCATCGTCATCATGATCAACATCAACATCATAACCAGCATCGTCATCATCATCATCATCTTTATTATCACTACAACTGCTGTAATCAGCAAGTTGAGTACAAGTGTAACCGATGCCCATGTTAATCAAACTAAACGCAAAAGGTCATTAGTTTGAATATTTATAAGCATCCTCCATTTAATAGCCTATACCAAACCATCCACTCGTTAAACGACAACATAAATATTTAAGTACGCCCAAAGGGCATTCTGGAACAATAGGTTTAACTGATATTGACATATACGGTATCAGACAGATTTGCCCAGGCTAAATGTGTATTCACTCTCTGATTGCCTGTACGAGTGGATTTCTCACAAATAATATATAATACGTAGAATATTAATTGAGGCAAACATTAAGCTTAATACATCATATCGACTCATGTTGAATTTGGTATTTTAAAAGTAGCATTGATAATCTTATGGATGACGGTTTTATAGTGATTTCACAGCTAATTCATGGAGGTAGGAGATCAGTATTTGTTCAAATGACAATGGCTTCTTAACTTACATTCGACATAATACCTCAGTGTGCTTGCACTTATAAACCGGCAGAAGACATAACTGAAGCGGGGCGGTGGGGTAGCCTAGTGGTTAAAGCGTTCGCCCGTCACGCCGAAGACCCAGGTTCGATTGCCCACATGGGTACAATGTGTGAAGCCAATTCTGGTGTCACCCGCCGTGATATTGCTGGAATATTGCTACAAGCGACGTAAAACTAAACTCACTCACATCTGACACACGTGCACGCACATCGTTTATGTAAGTACTGTAGTCTTGATTGTTGCAATCAACATTAACAGTTCATACGTGTGTCTAAGAAGTTAAAAAGGACAGTTATCGCAGCATTCAGCAATATTCAAGATGTATACTGACGGTCTGTAAAACATAGGTGAGGTGAGGTGAAATTGGGTTTAACGTCGTGCTTGAGAATATTGCTGCTTGTACTAGCCCAGACTTAAGGTGGTTTTATAGTGCTAGCTCACTGAGATACCATGCCGCAGTGAAGCATGACTACCCCACTCAGACACATTATACTGACTCCGAGCCGACCAGTCCTTGATGTACCCATTAAAGCCGAGCGCCAGGCAGGGACCAACAAATACCATACTTTAACGTCTTTTGGTTTGACGCGGTCGGGGATCGAACCCGCGACCCTCCGCACTCCGGGCGGACGCTCTAACCACTACACCACGGAGGCGGTCCCAGAAACATAGAGTCAGGACCAGACAGTCTGGAGATAAACATGAGCATCGAGCAATCGAACCCGATGACCCAACTGAGTAGGCGCCTAACGAAATCGAGTCTGGCAAGCTGACTTTTGTTGAGAATATTGATCTTCAGAATATCTGGACAACCCATGCTTGTCGCAAGAGGCGACTAACGGAATCGGGTCCCGGTTAGGCTTTTGCTGACAACCTATGCTTGACACAAGAGGCGACTAACGTCGCTTCGGCTCGCTCTATCACTGGATTGTCTGGATTGTCCAGACTCGATTATTTACAAACCGCCGCCATATAGCTGGAATATTGCTGGTGCGGCGTAAAACTAAACTCACTTACTCACCCAACTGAGATACGATGACATGTGTCGACCAAATCACATGAGTGACCACCCGATGCCGTTGGTCGCCTCTTACGACAAGCATGAGTTACTAAAGACCAATTCTAACACGAATCTTAAAGGATTGTGTTGAGTAAACACGGGTATGGTGGTGGAGACAGTGTTATTCTATCTGGTACAATTTGGATTTCGTACCTGCATCTAGAAAAAAAAGGACCAAGCATTAACTGACTTACGATTTGAAACTAATAGACCACTCAGCTACAAGTGAGTTTGTATGCTGTAAAATGTTAAAAACATGGGATGGTTTAACACGGTTGGCTAAACAAGCTCATTTAATAATCAAGGAACTAATCTCGTGGAAAACATCCATTTCGCATGCAGAAAAGATACCAACGCACTTCATGTGCATGAGAATGTCTTGTTGGGTTTTTTAAAATCGTTAGCGTAAAACATGTTGTGCATGTAATAGCATGTCCAGCTCGTGGTAAATGTGAGCACGTGATAATCGCGATAAACAACTGCGGCATGCAATTGTCGGTATTTCGTATAACAGTTACACTACCGTTAATCTCTCTCTATCTCTCTCTCTCTCTCTCTCTCTCTCTCTCTCTCTTTGCATAGCTCTCTCTCTCTCTCTGGGGATGTGTGGGGTATGGGGAGATGGTTGGATGGGACTTGTGACATATTCGGTATATATGGTATGTGATGGATGAGTGAGTGAGTTGGGTTGTGCACCGCTTTTAGCAATATTCCAGCAATATCATGGCAGGGGACACCAGAAATAGACTTCACACATTGTACCCATGTGGAGAATCGAACCTGGGTCTTCACCGTGACGAGCGAACGCTTTTGTTTTTATCTTGTATTGTTAGTTTTATTGAAGAATTCATTAGGGTCCATATATAATTTTTACATGGATGATAAACCACTTGAACCAAGCCCAACTATCAGACCAAGTACCCGGAACATCAAACGACATTAATATATGTGAAGATCCGGGCTAGAATTTGTCTTCAGTAACCCATACTCGTGAGAGGCGACTAACGGGATCGGGTGACACATGTCATCATATTCAAATTGGGTAGATCGATGCTCATGCTGTTGATCACTGGATTGCCTGGTTCATTATTACAGAACGCCGCCATATAGCTGGAATATTATTGGTGAGTGCGGTGTAAATCTAACCCTCACTCATTCAAACGACATTCGGTTGACTTCGACAAGTTATCGCATTAAACCTGACATGCGCCAACTGTAATAATGACCTCTCATGCATATTCATCAGGTTCGGTCGCCAGGTCGAGGTTTCTTTACTGTGTTCACCAGCAGTGGCTCTGTCTCTCGTTGCCAGTATTTGAGGTTGTAATTTAATAAAGACCTATTCCTATGTGAGAACCATCACGAACTCGCCTTGTCAAATTCCACGCAGAATCGCTGATTATTCAGAACTATTAATTTCTGAGAACACTTTAGGAACCCCAAGAGTCCAGTCTTGCAAAGTGACCTTAGCGTTACGGCTGTCGAAACTCCCATCTTCTACAAACACTTTGGGTATCGAATATCTCAGCTCACTTCATAAGAGCGGGTTTGATCTGTTCCCGAACAACATTTGGGGCACGCGAGTGCGAAACAAAAAACTTCTGTTTTCACGTCAATTCGGACTTGGCAATTCCAACCAATCAAGAAAATAGTTGAAACAAAAGAAAACTGTCAATTGAATACATGTCAATTACAGTGGGTTGAAATTGCGACCTGCTTAACAAGTGTATAAAAGTTGACAACGCACCACTGAGACAAACAGGTCCATACCTGTCGCAGACCGTAACGCGAAGTTGACAGGTATTCGACAGGTACTCGATACCTCCTGAGAACATGATAACCACTTTTACTCAAACAAAAAATATTCGAAAATTGCGAAAATCTAATTTCAAGCCCTGTCAATCAAATGTCACTTGATAAAATCGGCAATTTCAGATCGAATTCGTTTGTGAATAACTGCACTGTTCTCTTACTCGGCCACTGGGGCATGTTTATACAGAAATACGGATGAAGTTCTAGTGGTGTGAACCACTAGGGGCGCGGGGTAGCCTAGTGGTTAAAGCGTAGGCTCGTTACGCGGAAGGCCTGGGTTCGATTCCCCACATTGGTACAATGTGTAAAGCCCAAGTCTAGCGTCCCCCGCCGTGATATTCCTGGAATATTGCTAAAATCATACTCACGCACTCTGAACCACCAAGAACTAATTCGAAAGACTATTGTTTAACGCCTGCACACAGCAATGCTTAATCCATAAAACGGCTTCTTTAAGTCCGGAATATGTACACAAAGAACTTAGTTAAGCACCCCCCTGACATATCTCACGATTGAATGAACTCCGGTCTTAACCCTGTGGAGCATATCTGGGACATGATTGGTCGTCGTGTGCAATAAAAGGATCCTCCTTTACAGAACCTGGCCCAAATGGAAGCTGCTTTACACGGGGAATGGCGTAGACTGACCCTTCAGAGGATCAGGAGGCTGACAGGGGGTATGAGGAGGAGCGCGCTGGCTATCACACAGTCACACACTCGGTATTGAACTTGAATCGTGTAAGACACGCAAAACGACATTCTAAATGTTCACATTCACCAATAAATTCTACAATAAACATTCCAGGGCCATACTTGTACATACATGGTTTTGTATGAAAATCAGTGGGGTTTTTTTAACGTGCAATTATCATCATAAAATCAACATGGATTCCAATCATTTTGTCGTTTGCTTAAAGAGTCAAAGGATCATACGGGTCAGAGAAACGCATGTTTGTCCATCGTGGTCGCCAAGAGAAGTTTATGTACGTGTTGAAAAGCTATTATTGCGAAAATACAGTGTGTGCTTAATTAAGTTCTTTGTGTATAGGGGCCGGTGGGGTAGCCTAGTGGTTAAAGCGTTGGCTCGTCACGCCGATGACCCGAGTTCGAATCCCCACATGGGTACAATGTGTGACCAAACTCAGTCAGTCAGTCTTTGTGTATATAATCCATTAACTGACACCATAACAAACAATCTACCAGCACGTTAAACTATGACTTCTACATATATTAAAACTGATCCCGCATCAGTATTGTTCTCCTAGTGGCTGCAAGAGTTGTATGCTCCCTGGGGAGTTGAGATTGATAATACGATGTCCCGTTGAGATTGACATCCAGTGATCGAGGGAAATACCAGCGCCTTGAGCATGTACTAGTCACGTGGATATGTGCGCTATATAAATATCATGTAAATATCATGTAATATTTGCTGGTTTATTGAACACTGTAAACAACAGGTGCCCTCAGGCCAAAATCTCATTTTTATATGGCAATGCGGGTCTCTCCATCAGTGAGAATCAGAATATTTTCAAATGTTTCGATATGTATATAAGCAGATCAAAACGATTTCTCTGACAGTAAAGTGATTGTGAAGTATCCCCTCATTCTTTACTCTCTGTACTTTTCCTGTTTCTCACATTCTGTTTATGTATAGTGCAAATATATGTACATAACGGCAGGGAAAGGGCATTTCTAAGTTGGACAACTTGTGCCCAATCCTTTTTTTCATGAATAAAACATGTTTAAATTTCAGTAATCGATCTACGAAATTGGGATACAATGACAAGCATCAACTTGACCCCCCGATCCCGTTAGTCAGCTCGCACGACAACGCTTAAGACGCTTTAACCCGGATCTTCGCGGGTTTTGGCATCACACGTTTAAAGGTAGAACGCGTCATAAGGAGAAAAGACCAGCCGCCAGTCATTTGATAATTTTCATTCTAATGTTCTAATGATTCAGTGTTTCGCAACCGTAAAATTAAACAATCCCAGGGCCGAAAAGGGCCCATTCCCACGCCTCCATATAACACTAGAATTACAAATGGTACTACCAAACTAGGTGCCAAAAACGCCACTTCTTGTTCCTACTCAAGAGACCGGTGCCTATTAGAATGAAGTATCGATATTGGCAAGGGGTTTAAAGACATCAAGTTATTCTAATTGAAGATGTGAAATCCATTATCAGGTGTCATTATTCAGACTAAATGTAGCTTGTTCTGTTAATGCCCTCTTTACTCTTATTACGTAATCAACTGTAATTGGTTAGGCTCGTCACATGGCCCGAGCTTCTTGTTTAGTAATTCACGCACACGTGCAGCACTATACCTAACGGTAAACTTCTTCATTAGAGAGCGTACAGACCACTGCGAGGACAATGCAAAATCAGTTGCGCGTAAAAACTGCATGGAAATTGATCAATAAAAGATACGAATAAAATTCAGCAGCACAATTTCTTTAGAAGCCTCTTGTGCCCCGTGTTTCAGGCGTCACACGTGATGGGAATTCGATGAGATGAAACGCCAGTTCTACCAGTGGTTATAAGAGAATGTATTGAGTTCTTTATGAATTCTCCTAACACCGAGCCCAGTTCGTTCTCGCCGAGACTCGCGGGACAATACTCCTCACGTAACTTGGATTTATATTTTCAGCTATTTCCAGGATAATTAGGTTAGGAGAATTTGATGGGTAATTACACCTTGGCAGATGCAATTTGCACGGACATTCTGTGCATGGAATTCCACCGCCTGTATTATTTAGACATAAATAGCGATGGAAGGGTCGGGGATTGACGGGTTCATCGCATCCGAACGACCGTTATTACCCGTTCCGTGGTGGAGCTGTTGCCGTTACCGAGGTTGGGGCAGCTTGATATATTAACCGGAATACGGGACGATGAAAGTGTTGCCAGGGCCATCATCACCCTTTAAAACAGCTTTCCAAGTCCGCGTCTTCTGTTATTTTTCGAAAATGAATGGCTGGGTTGTCGCCCTTAGACATATTGTGCGTTCTACTTGCCGCTTAATCCTATCTTGTCCGAACATAAAATTGTAGTAAATCACTTCAAGGAGACGTTGTTGCATCATGTTTAAAGTTTACATCAATATTTATGCTTCAAGAACTAACGGTAAAACTCGGTTAGGTCGGTAGTTCATTATAACGGTAACACGACCCCGAGTTGCTTTGTTAATGCGTTTGATCCGAAATATAAAAGTCAACTCGAAATGGATTTTTTCGGAATTTGATAGGAAAGTAGGTTATGTTGATAACACGCAGGAAAGATATGGCTTTGTTATTATCATAGTCCTTCAGAGTAGAACGTTTCTTTGTCTTAATTTCAGCCATAATGTTTTACACACTTTAACCTCCTGAAGATAACGGCCCATTAAGATCTCTGCTGGAAATAGCCTGGTGATTAGTGACGGCTTAAAACCCCAAAACTACTTACGTGAGACGACCAAATCAGTCATGAAAACAATTTTGAATAGAAATTGGCTATCAGCATGAGCAAGACGTGATAACAATATGCTTATTGATCTCATTAGACAGGCCAGGGAAACGTTATCACAGTCGCAGATAACCATCACCACCATCGTCACTATCATCATTACTACCATCGTCGTCATCATCACCACCATCGTCGTCATCTTCATCATCATCATCACCACAATCGTCATCGTCACCATCACCATCACCAGCGTCGTTATCATCATCATCATGATTATCACCACCATTGCCATCACCGCCATTGTCTTTATCATCATCAGCACCACCATCGCCATTATCACCATCACTACCATCGTCGTCATCATCATCACCATCGTTATCATCATCACCACCACCATCGTCATCAGCATCACTACCATCGTCGTCATCATCACCACCATCGTCATCATCATCACCACCACCATCGTCACTATCATCATCACTACCATCGTCACTATCATCATTACTACCATCGTCGTCATCATAATCATCACCACCATCGCCATCATCATCACCACCACCATCGTCATCATCATCACCACCACCATCGTCATCATCATCACTACCATCGTCATCATCACCACCATCGTCATCATCATCACCACCACCATCGTCATCATCATCATCACCACCATCGTCACTATCATCATCACTACAATCGTCGTCATCATAATCATCACCACCATCGTCATCATCACCACCATCGTCGTCATCAACATCATCACCACCATCGTCATTATCGTCAGCACTACCATTGTCGTCATACTATCATCACCACCATCGTCATCATGATCAACATCAACATCATAACCACCATCGTCATCATCATCATTATCATCTTTATTATCACTACAACTGCTGTTATCAGCAAGTGAGTACAAGTGTAACCAATGCCCATGTTAATCAAACTAAACGCAAAAGGTCATTAGTTTGAACATTTATAAGCATCCTCCATTTAATAGCCTATACCAAACCATCCACTCGTTAAATGACAACATAAATATTTAAGTACGCCCAAAGGGCATTCTGGAACAATAGGTTTAAGTGATATTGTCATATACGGCATTAGACAGATTTGCCCAGACTAAATGTGTATTCACTCTCTGATTGCCTGTACAAGTGGATTTCTCACAAATAATATATAATACGTAGAATATTAATTGAGGCAAACATTAAGCTTAATACATCATTAGTATACACAATGGTGGTACGGGACCGCACAGCAAAAATCCTATGTTAAAGTATGGGGAAAAGACCAAAAGGTGCACCTCCACTCAACATTTGAGTATATAGGGATACTTTTTGTATGCATTGTTTCTTTTATTTTTTTCTTCACGATCCCAGTAGTCCATCCAACCCCAAGACAGGTATGCGGAAAGCAAGACTGGAGTCCAGCGCAGAAAAACAACAACAGTATGCCGATGGGGTTTGGACCACTCTCATGTTGTTTCTCCATCGGCGAAGGTGCACTCGAATTAAATCCACTACTTTCTCTCGAACATAGAGAACCTGTACGGCGACGACTGCCTCTTCTGGTGCCTGTGCTACCAACGCCTCGTGGACGAGTTGTCGGCCAATTGTCCATGCAACGAGAAAGAGTCTTGTATCTTCCGGCAGCTATCGGGACAAGCAGATCCGACATGGGGACGGTGTCACCCGCCGTGATATTGCTGGAATATTGCTACAAGCGACGTAAAACTAAACTCATTCACATCTGACACACGTGCACGCACATCGTTTATGTAAGTACTATAATCTTGATTGTCGCAATCAACATTAACAGTTAATACTTGTGTCTAAAAATGACAGTTAACGCAGCATTCAGCAATATTCAAGATTTATACTGACGGTCTGTAAAACATAGAGTCTGGACCAGACAGTCTAGAGATAAACATCATGAGCATCGAACTACCCAACTGAGTACCCGTCAAGGTCTGGGTTAGAATATTGATCTTCAGAATATTGACAACCCATGCTTGTCGCAAGAGGCGACTAACGGAATCGGGTGGTTAGGCTCGCTGACTAGGTTGACACATGTCATGCTCATGTTGTTGATCACTGGATTGTCTGGTCCAGACTCGATTATTTACAAACCGCCGCCATATAGCTGGAATATTGCTGAGTGCGGCGTAAAACTAAACTCACTCACTCACCCAACTGAGATACGATGACATGTGTCGACCAAATCACATGAGTGACCACCCGATGCTGTTGGTCGCCTCTTACGACAAGCATGGGTTACTAAAGACCAATTCTAACACGAATCTTAAAGGATGGTGTTGAGTAAACTTGGGTATGGTGGTGGAGACAGTGTTATTCTATCTGGTACAATTTGGATTTCGTACCTGCATCTAGAACGACCAAGCATTAACTGACTTACGATTTGAATGAGGGATGGAGGAGCAGTTCGGAGGTGATTGGCTTGTGACTTATATATATGGTATCTGTAGCAATATGCACTCACGATGGATGGGACAGTGAGTGAGTGAGTGAGTGAGTTGGGTTGTACACCGCTTTTAGCAATATTCCAGCAATACCAGAAATAGACTTCACACATTGTACCCATATATAATTTTTACATGGATGACAAACCACTTGAACCAAACCCAACTATCAGACCAAGTACCCGGAACATCAAACGACATTAATACATGTGAAGATCCGGGCTAGAATGTGTCTTCAGTAACCCATACTCGTAAGACTAACGGGATCGGGTGGTCAGGCTCGCTGACCTGATTGACACATGTCATCATATTCAAATTGCGTAGATCGATGCTCATGCTGTTGATCACTGGATTGCCTGGTCCATTATTTACAGAACGCCGCCGTATAGCTGGAATATTATTGGTGAGTGCGGCGATAATCTAACCTCACTCACTCAAACGACATTCGGTTGACTTCGACAAGTTATCGCATTAAACCTGACATGCCCCAACTGTAATCATGACCTCTCATGCATATTCATCGGGTTCAGTCGCCAGGTCGAGGTTTCTTTACTGTGTTCACCAGCAGTGGCTCTGTCTCTCGTTGCCAGTATTTGAGATTGTAATTTAATAAAGACCTATTCCTATGTGAGTACCATCACGAACTCGCCTTGTCAAATTCCACGCAGAATCGCTGATTATGCAGAACTATTAATTTCTGAGAACACTTTAGGAACCCCAAGAGTCCAGTCTTGCAAAGTGACCTTAGCGTTACGGCTGTCGAAACTCCCATCTTCTACAAACACTTTGGGTATCGAATATCTCAGTTCACTTCATAAGAGCAGGTTTGATCTGTTCCCGAACAACATTTGGGGCACGCGAGTGCGAAACAAAAAACTTCTGTTTTCACGTCAATTCGGACTTGGCAATTCCAACCAATCAAGAAAATAGTTGAAACAAAAGAAAACTGTCAATTGAATACATGTCAATTACAGTGGGTTGAAATTGCGTCCTGCTTAACAAGTGTATAAAAGTTGACAACGCACTACTGAGACAAACAGGTCCATACCTGTCGCAGACCGTAACGCGAAGTTGACAGGTATTCGACAGGTACTCGATACCTCCTGAGAACATGATAACCACTTTTACTCAAACAAAAAATATTCGAAAATTGCGAAAATCTAATTTCAAGACCTGTCAATCAAATGTCACTTGATAAAATCGGCAATTTCAGATCGAATTCGTTTGTGAATAACTGCACTGTTCTCTGACTCGGCCACTGGGGCATGTTTATACAGAAATACGGATGAAGTTCTAGTGGTGTGAACCACTAGGGGCGGCGGGGTAGCCTGGTGGTTAAAGCGTAAGCTCGTTACAAGGATGGCCTGGGTTCGATTCCCCACATGGGACGTACTAGTGTCGGGAATTGTTTAAAATCTCATAATTGATGATTGGTTCATTACAACCGATCAATCATCGAAAATAATTGGTTATCGTCATTTATGAAATTTTTCAGTTTGCACAAAAGCATAAAGAAAAAGCTTGTAGTTCGTTGGTTGTTTTTTCCGCAAATTTCACATCTTTAAAGGATGACTAGTATGTTAGGAATATAAATTTGTTGGGGTCTTTTAGATAAATTCAATCATGACTTGGACCAAGCTTGTAGTGCTCATGAAATGTAACAGACAAAACCAACCTTGTGAAAAAAATTGTTAATGTCAAAGGTGTTCCAGAATTGTTTGTATTCGATTATGAGAAAACATGATCGATTGCTTGGTCGTTTAGTCACTGCGACCAATCTTCGATTATTTCAAATAATCGGACCACCACTAATGGGTACAATGTGTCAAGCCCAAGTCTAGCCTCCCCCGCCGTGATATTCCTGGAACATTACTAAAATCATACTCACGCACTCTGAACCACCAAGAACTAATTCGAAAGACTATTGTTTACGCCTGCACACAGCAATGCTTAATCCATAAAACGGCGTCTTTAAGTCCGGAATATGTACACAAAGAACTTAGTTAAGCACCCCCTGACATATCTCACGATTGAATGAACTCCGGTCTTAACCCTGTGGAGCATATCTGGGACATGATTGGTCGTCGTGTGCAATAAAAGGATCCTCCTTTACAGAACCTGGCCCAAATGGAAGATTCTTTACACGGGGAATGGCGTAGACTGCCCCTTCAGAGGATCAGGAGGCTGACAGGGAGTATGAGGAGGAGAGCGCTGGCTATCATACAGTCACACACTCGGCCATACTTGTACATACATAGTTTTGTATGAAAATCAGTGGGGTTTTTTTAACGTGCAATTATCATCATAAAATCAACATGGATTCCAATCATTTTGTGTGTTTTTTAAAGAGTCAAAGGATCATACGGGTCAGAGAAACGCATGTTTGTCCATGATTGTCGCCACGAGAAGTTTATGTACGTGTTGAAAAGCTATCATTGCGAAAATACAGTGTGTGCTTAATTAAGTTCTTTGTGTATATAATCCATTAACTGACACCATAACCAACAATCTACCAGCACGTTAAACTATGACTTCTACAGAACATATATTAAAACTGATCCAGCATCAGTATTGTTCTCCACGTGAAAATTCTGTACATTTTGCTAGAATGTCCATATTACATTTCACACAGACATACTATACGTCGCGGTGGGCGAGCTGGCTAAAGAGCCAGGCTAATGATCCATTGAGCTTGAGGTGTCGGGATCGAGCCCACCTGTGACCGGGTGTAAACACCTTGGAGTCAACTTTGTGTGCAGACTCGTTCAGTGTTGTCACAACCCCTAGTGTACAGTACACAACCCTGTGCACTTAAAAGAACCCACGAATCCGTTGGTATATGACCAGATGGTGGCCACATGAATACGTGCAAACACCTAGTTGCGGGTACAGTAACGTGCAGTGTGTCCCAGTCCACCCAGCTGTGAATGAGTACCTCGTAAGGGTGAGAAAGCCGTAAAAGTCAGTGCGCCTAGTGGCTACAAGAGTTGTATGCTCCCTGGGGAGTTGAGATTGATAATACGATGTGCCGTTGAGATTGACATCCAGTAATCGAGGGAAATACCAGCGCCTTGAGCATGTACTAGTCACGCGGATATGTGCGCTATATAAATATTATGTAAATATCATGTAATATTTGCTGGTTTATTGAACACTGTAAACAACAGGTACCCTCAGGCCAAATTCTCATTTTTATATGGCAATGCGGGTCTCTACATCAGTGAGAATGAGAATATTTTCAAATGTTTCGATATGTATATAAGCAGAACAAAACGATTTCTCTGACAGTAAAGTGATTGTGAAGTATCCCCTTATTCTTTACTCTCTGTACTTTTCCTGTTTCTCACATTCTGTTTATGGATAGTGCAAATATATGTACGTAACGGCTGGGAAAGGGCTTTTCTCACTTGGACAACTTGTGCCCAATCCTTTCTTTCATGAATAAAACATGTTTAAATTTCAGTAATCGATCTACGAAATTGGGATACAATGACAAGCATCAACTTGACCCCCCGATCCCGTTAGTCAGCTCGCACGACATCGCTAAAGACGCTTTAACCCGGATCTTCGCGGGTTTGGTATCACTCGTTTCAAGGTAGAACGCGTCATAAGGAGGAAAGACCAGCCGCCAGTCATTTGATAATTTTCATTCTAATGTTCTAATGATTCAGTGTTTCGCAACCGTAAAATTAAACAATCCCAGGGCCGAAAAGGGCCCATTCCCACGCCTCCATATAACACTAGAATTACAAATGGTACTACCAAACTAGGTGCCAAAAACGCCACTTCTTGTTCCTACTCAAGAGACCGGTGCCTATTAGAATGAAGTATCGATATTGGCAAGGGGTTTAAAGACATCAAGTTATTCTAATTGAAGATGTGAAATCCATTATCAGGTGTCATTATTCAGACTAAATGTAGCTTGTTCTGTTAATGCCCTCTTTACTCTTATTACGTAATCAACTGTAATTGGTTAGGCTCGTCACATGGCCCGAGCTTCTTGTTTAGTAATTCACGCACACGTGCAGCACTATACCTAACGGTAAACTTCTTCATTAGAGAGCGTACAGACCACTGCGAGGACAATGCAAAATCAGTTGCGCGTAAAAACTGCATGGAAATTGATCAATAAAAGATACGAATAAAATTCAGCAGCACAATTTCTTTAGAAGCCTCTTGTGCCCCGTGTTTCAGGCGTCACACGTGATGGGAATTCGATGAGATGAAACGCCAGTTCTACCAGTGGTTATAAGAGAATGTATTGAGTTCTTTATGAATTCTCCCTAACACCGAGCCCAGTTCGTTCTCGCCGAGACTCGCGGGACAATACTCCTCACGTAACTTGGATTTATATTTTCAGCTATTTCCAGGATAATTAGGTTAGGAGAATTTGATGGGTAATTACACCTTGGCAGATGCAATTTGCACGGACATTCTGTGCATGGAATTCCACCGCCTGTATTATTTAGACATAAATAGCGATGGAAGGGTCGGGGATTGACGGGTTCATCGCATCCGAACGACCGTTATTACCCGTTCCCGTGGTGGAGCTGTTGCCGTTACCGAGGTTGGGGCAGCTTGATATATTAACCGGAATACGGGACGATGAAAGTGTTGCCAGGGCCATCATCACCCTTTAAAACAGCTTTCCAAGTCCGCGTCTTCTGTTATTTTTCGAAAATGAATGGCTGGGTTGTCGCCCTTAGACATATTGTGCGTTCTACTTGCCGCTTAATCCTATCTTGTCCGAACATAAAATTGTAGTAAATCACTTCAAGGAGACGTTGTTGCATCATGTTTAAAGTTTACATCAATATTTATGCTTCAAGAACTAACGGTAAAACTCGGTTAGGTCGGTAGTTCATTATAACGGTAACACGACCCCGAGTTGCTTTGTTAATGCGTTTGATCCGAAATATAAAAGTCAACTCGAAATGGATTTTTTCGGAATTTGATAGGAAAGTAGGTTATGTTGATAACACGCAGGAAAGATATGGCTTTGTTATTATCATAGTCCTTCAGAGTAGAACGTTTCTTTGTCTTAATTTCAGCCATAATGTTTTACACACTTTAACCTCCTGAAGATAACGGCCCATTAAGATCTCTGCTGGAAATAGCCTGGTGATTAGTGACGGCTTAAAACCCTAAAACTAGTTACGTGAGACGACCAAATCAGTCATGAAAACAATTTTGAATAGAAATTGGCTATCAGCATGAGCAAGACGTGATAACAATATGCTTATTGATCTCATTAGACTGGCCAGGGAAGTGAAACGTTATCACAGTCGCAGATAACCTTTTCTTGGCAAACTGAGGTGACTTAGTGTGATGAAGCATTCACACGAGGGAAGTGTGGGTAGAGGACAGTGTTTGCCCTTAATCCTGAAAAGCTGCAGGCCCTAAGGACCCAGAACCATAAAACCTTGGGTCCTGATCAGAATGTGTAGGCTCTATATTTTAGCTACAATATAAGTATTTCCCTGCAAAAATAAAAACAAACAAACAACAGCTTCTGATCGAGATAAAAACTAAAAATTACTAAATGATATTTTCCGAAAAATAATACTCTTAGTTATTGGGGATGAAAAAGCTGTCGGCCATAAGGACCTGCAGAAAAGAAAAGCTGTGGGTCCGAATGGTTTTCAGTCAGCTTCGGGCCATAGGACCAACGTTAATTTCGAACGTAGAGGATATGGGGTTAGTTGAGTGAGTGAGTGATTGAAATGATTAACTGACGAGGGGTGAGTGAGTTTTAAGATGATTGATTATGGAGTGGAGAGTGAGTATTAAGATGATCGATTATGGAGGGGAGAGTGAGTTTTAAGATGATCGATTATGGAGGGGTCAGTGGGTTTTAAGATGATCGATTATGGAGGGAAGAGTGAGTTTTAAGATGATCGATTATGGAGGGGAGAGTGAGTTTTAAGATGTTTATGGAAGATGATTTTAAGATGATCGATTATGGAGGGTTTTAGAGATTATCGAGTTTTAAGATGATCGATTATGGAGGGGAGAGTGAGTTTTAAGATGATCGATTATCGAGGGGAGAGTGAGTTTTAAGATGATCGATTATGGAGGGGTGAGTGAGTTTTAAGATGATTCATTATGAGGGGTGAGTGAGTTTTAAGATGATTGATTATGGAGGGGAGAGTGAGTTTTAAGATGATCGATTATCGAGGGGTGAGTGAGTTTTAAGATGATTGATTACGGAGGGGTGAATGACCGCACACCGCTCGATTAAAAAAAAGAAAGAAAAAAAGAAAAAGTATATAAAAAAGTCCCACAAACCAACAAACATAAACACAACAAGCATTGTCACTAAGGTGACATAATCCCCAGCCGCAAATTATCATATCAAACTTATAAAGTAATGAAAGTTTAAGTTCAATGTCAACAAAAACATGACCAGTCAACCTCTCTTGATGTCTTGCTCTTTAGGTGTTCGAACACACACATATTTTCAAGACTGACTTTGACATGAATGTCATAGTGTATGAAATATGCAAAAATAGTACTAAAGAAATTGCTTTATGAAAAACATTTAAGGGAAGTCTTGAAAGTCCCTGAAGAAGATCCAGTGAACTGTTTTTTAAATATCCTTGCTGACAATTCAGGTTAACATGCTCAAATCTTCAAAGTGTCTCTGTGACCTTGAAAATTATGTGAAGGTCACCAAAATCGACTGGGCCCTGCGCCTTCCCTAGATAAAGTTTTGTATTGAATAATTATGCAGAAAATACAGTTAACGGTTCTTGAGATAGCTTAACATGCAGGAAATGAAGGTCAAGGTCACCAAACCTGACTTGGACCTTTCTTATACTGTGATGAACCTAGGTACCAATTACGAAAAGAATCTAGTGAACGGTTCTTAAGATATTCCAGTTCGTACGTACGTACGGACGGACGGACGGAGCCTAATACTATATCCCCCACTTCGCGCTAAACGCGCGGCGGGGGATAATAAAAAAAGTCAACATACACTCAAACACACACAGATAAAGACATATACACACTCATAAACACGCACGTGCAAATCTTATGATTTCATAAACTGTTAAATCCAAGGTTAAAGGTTAGTAAAACTCTCACCTCAGCTGAAAATGGCGTCCCTTCAATAGTATGTTCTGATCCGCGGTCATCTTCACTTCCAAAGTGGAGTTTTATTTGCGACACCCTGTAGTGATACATCAGAGGGCCGTCACTGATGTTGAGGGAGCTGAAGCTGGACTCGTCCACGACCAAGGTGACGTCACGTCCGGTGTTCACCAGCGTTCCGTGAATCTGGAAACAAGAGTGAGTGAGTTTAGTATTACGCCGCTTTTAGCAATATTCCAGCAATCAC